GGAAGGGGCAAAGGAAGGGGCAAAGGAAGGGGCAAAGGAAGGGGCAAAGGAAGGGGCAAAGGAAGGGGCAAAGGAAGGGGCAAAGGAAGGGGCAAAGGAGAAAAAAAATCTACATAGAGTAGAACATAATAACAACAACAATAAAAAAAAAGAAACAGGAGAATCTCATTATAAGTTTAAGTCAAAATAAAAGATCACGTACATCAACATTTTTGAGTTGTTTGACTGAAATCGATATTGGACTTTCTCCAAGACTAATGAACAAAAAAAACTTACTTTCACTACCACCCAGAAATTCATGCTGCAAATCCTCAAAGACTTCATTTCTTCTAGTTTCTTCTTGGGTTACTGGAACTTTTTGCTGAATGCCATTTTGGTATGGTTTATATGTCACTTTGTAAGATTCTACAGACTTGCCACTAACAACTCCAGACGCACCAAACTGCTGTTGTGACAATATAAGGGCAAATAAACATAAGCTACAACTGTAGTGTTCCTCGATGAAAGTATTCTTCCTTTTGATTTACATGTTGAATTTAAAAATAACTCTAGTAGCTCTTCATTCTCAGGCTCTAATCCAGCAAAGTCTTTAAATGTACACTTTAACTTATCCACCCYTCTTAAGGTAGGCATATTCATCAAAATTTATATTACGCTCACAGACTGCATCACATCCATACTATCTTATGGCTAACTAGCCAAACAAGTGAATTTAGAATAAATCTAAAGCAAAACAGTCTACAAATATTACTGTCAGCAGTCATATATATATATATATATATATATCTGTGAAAACTTTCCAAAAGAGACAAATATATACCAGCCTCTGAAATACCTTAAGATGGTCCTTTGAAGTGTCCGGGAAAATTACTATTTTACTTTGCTGACTATTAATTTCTGGCTTATGGCCATCCATATATGGCCTAAAGTTTTCTGGAAGATGATATACATTGCTCTGTTGGTAGCAGCTTGGACCAGGACTATACCCATCTCTACCAAGATACACATCTCCAGAATCCTCTTGACTGTTTTGGCCACAGTAATCTTCCTTAACTTCGTACAAACATTTTTCTTCATTAGGTAAGCCATTCCAATTCTCTGAATGGTTTTCAATGTGGTTATTTTGCTGTTCATGCAACAATTGCTCAGAAAACAGATTTTGTCCTTGTTCATAACCCTATGAATGGATAAAAGATTCAGAATTGTTTTATCAAAACTCAGATTTCTTTTCTTTATGGGGTTATCAACAGACAGCAGAAATACTTCTACTGAATAAGAAAACCGATCACCTATATAAAAAGCACATTTCTAATTTCAAGAATATTTACTACATTATTATGAACACACAGTTTCTACTAATTAAATAACCACTTAGAAAAAAATACTTACATTCTGACAATCACTAATCAATGGATGATCATTCCATCTTCCATCATGCTCCCAGGGCTCATGTGATCTAGGAAAAGACAAACTGGCTTTGCTCTCTCATATAAACAGTAGAAAAACAAAACACAAACTTTAATTCAATTAACTGACATCCACTTCGTTTCTCATGCAACCCAAGCTCCACTGTGAATTACTGTATGGATTATGGCTTTCTTAGATAGTTTTTAGGGACTTGATTATGTGAAATTTTACTCCCTCTCAAAAGCACAATTTAAAATAAAAATACAAAAAAAAAAAAAGCCTTACTGCTCCTCATTCTCATGAATGCTACTGTCTGAATAGCTGGAGAGTTGGTCTCCACTGTCTTCCAGCATATCATGGGGAAGGTCTGTCAATAGTTGTTGCAACTGAAACAGAAGAACATACGTGATATTGCTTTTCAAAAGAATATAAGCAAACTAAAGCAAATATATACAGTCTAAAGCAAAACAGGTAGAGGAATAGGCTGCTTGCATAAAATTTATGTTTTCTTCCTTTGRAGAGGCATCATTCAGTTACAACACTGACACCACCAAGCTTTACACAGTAGAGCTAGCAATTCTTCCAGTAAGCAAAAAGCTGAGGGAGATGCYACCACACTGACTTGTTACAGAACAGACTGCTTTTGAAGACTAATTTACAACTTCTCATGCTAAGAGCTCTCCTCCTTGAAAAAATACGCATTCAAAACATGCTCTCAGGAGCCCAAATTTAAATCATGATGAGAAAATGCCAGTTGCTGTTACTTCATACAAGCCTGCATTGCAGTGATTAGTGGTCTGCCTACATGAAGTCTTTATGCAGCTGAATGCAAACAAAAAAAAAAATCCACTACTTTGAATTCAGGAATGCCATATTTGTGGCCCTTTTAGGTTGCAGCCAAAAACCAAGATAAAATAGTATGACCTGTCTGACCAATCCTTGGTCCAAGATAATTGTCACAGAATGACCAGCAACATTTACCAATTCATACAACTTGGTAGTCAGCATGCACAACAGTGACATGTGAATAATCAATGTGATTTATTGAATTTACAATGTATATTAGCATTAAGGAGACTTAATATGTAATTCTTGTATCAAAATGTACAACAGCCAACCCAAGAGTACATTTAAAACTAACAGTTTATAGCTCTTATATTTTCTAGTCATTTCTATAGAGATTTTCCAGAATTTGATAAAAGCTTATACAATGCGTTAAAAGCAGTGAGCCCACGGACGAGCAATTGCACTGAAATAAGATAACTTCATTTAAAATACATGGTATCTTCAAAATCATGGGAACACTTGGGAAGTATCTTAGTACCAAAAATGCAAAATCACTACAGTGCTTTTTAAGAAAAGGAATGAAAACACATACTGTGTGGACACATAGTTTCAGGGTTATTTAACTTGCCTTTCCAGAAGCTAATTATTTCCTTTTGCCCACATATCTACTTAAAGAATAACTCCCCAAAATTCTTGAACTTACTTGATACAATGAGCCCCATATAGAATGAACCCATTCTTCCAAATTTTCAGTAGCTTTGATATGTGGCCACATATTGGGCTTCAACTTGTATGTCTGAACAACACATCCTGCTTTTGGCTCATTAAAAAAACAGAGAACCACACATGTTTAAAACTATTGCATCGTGTATCTGTACCCTAACTCTGTTTTCTCCAAACTGTCAGACAAAGCACGTACTTGAGTGTTAATCAGAGCAGAAACATCAAGTGCTACATGTGAAATACAACAACATAGAGAAGCTGCGAAGGAACATAGACAGTAGGTGACAGTGCTCCTTGGATATCTGCTAAATAGCCAAAAAATACAGTTTTTATAGCCACTACATATGACATTGCAAKGCTCTTGAAAATGTATCTCCTCATTTTCTCTCTACTTGTGCAATTTGTGAGTTTGATCTCTATGCTATCAATGACAGYATAACATTTCAGTTTGAAAGAGGAAAGAAGCTAGGTAAACAAGCCTTCCAAACAAATCATTTATTTATTGTCACCTCTTGTTCTCTTGCATAATCCTCTTGGTCATACTCTTCCTCTTCATGTTGAGTTTGTAGAGCTCCACTATCAAAATCAATGGACATTGTTTTCTAATGATAATGGTCTTCAGTATCCAGAACGCCTATCACAAGGTAATAAAACATCAGATGAGGAAAAAGAAAGTCATAAAACAATCATCCTCACTTTCCAAATCAAGCAGCCAAACATAAAAAGAAAAGACCAACATTGCCCATTATCTGTATCTGTGCTTCTACTCTGCTTTCTAGCATTAATAGTACTTATCATTTCTAAAAGCTAAGCTTTTTCAATAATTATTCATACTGTTATAAAAAAAGAATTTATTAAAGTTCACTTATGAAAATAGACATCATTTGATGATTTTTAARGGTCCMTTCCAACCCTAATCATTCTGTAATTTAGTTTAAGCTGTAGCACTGAACACATTCACCCCTTACAGACCCATAGTTATGCCCAATCTCCAGTGTCACGTCAGTGCTTTTGAGAGAGCACGTTTGAGAGAGAGAGCAGGTTGCTGCGAGAGCACCYGGATTACAGCTTTAGCAATGGAAAAGCAGCAGGTCAGTTGAAGACTTAAAGAACTGCTGAGTGTAAAGAAACTCAGACACCCAAGGACATGGAGGCCACAGCAGCTACATCCTAAAGCTGCAGGGTGTTAATGTTTGCATTTCATGGCTAGACAAGCGACTCCTTGGTGAAGGGAGACCCCGTTATTAGGGGAGATCTGAGCGAACTTGTTGTTCTTTACGCAAACAGGGCTCCCCGCTGCTTCTCCCCCTCTCCGCCGGCCCCAGGGGCCTCGCGGCCTGCGGGAAGCGCTGGCGCCACGGGGGCCTGCGGGCGTTGGGGGCCGCCCCGTGCGGCCGTTAGCACCGAAGCCCCCTCAGCTCGGCGGGAGAGGCGCCTCCCGCCGAGCCCGAGGCCCCCGCGTGGCGAGCGCGGAGCAGGCCCGGCCGCCGCCACTCACCGGAGCCGCCGCGCCCAACGGCCGCCCGCTCCCATGGGGCACAACAAAGACACCGCGGCCGCGCTTCCGCGTGACAACCGAACCTGCGCCCGCCRCGCCTGAGTGGCGGCCCGCGGCTCCAACCAGCGGGCGCGGCGCGGCCGCAGGGCCCGCGCGCTCTGGGCAGCAGGGGCGGGCGGGAAGCRGCAGCCCCCACCCCCTTCACGCTCGGTTGCGCTGCGGAGCCTCTCGTTGGCTGTTTAAAGGCAGGCGCGGAAGGCCGCGGGAAGGCGTACGGCTCGTTGGTTGGCTAAGGGGCCAGCCAATCGCTGTGGCCGCTTCCGGAGGGGCGGGGCTTCCCCGTGACGTCACGGCCCACGGGGGCGGGGCTGGGCACAGGTGTCGGAGGCGCCATGTCGCCGCGGGACGTGGCAGTTACCTGGCAACGCGCGATGACGTAGCCCGGGGAGAGCCGTGTGAAGTCACAGCGTGGCGGGGTGACGTCACGCGATGAGAGGGCTGCCCCTCATGGCCTTGTGGTGATAAAGGCTGAAGCACTGAGCAAGCACCTCCCACTCGAGGGCTGCAGCCTCTCCTCTAATCTGCCAATTAATAAATAAATAAATAAATCGACTATTTTTCTGAGATAAGGAACTCCTTCCGCAGCACTGCCTGTAGCCATTCAAAAAAAAAAAAAAAAAAAAAAAAATTGTTTCCCGAACAATGAGCATTTGTTCGCAGAGGAGATATGTAATAGCACCACCTGGTGACACTCGCCTTGCTGTAGCACTGCCCGCCCGACAGGCAGAGGATGGGAGCTGTGATAGCAGAGATGTGGTTGGGTCACCTTTTGTAATATTATTTTATTCTTGTAAGCAACCAAATTTAACACTTAAATTTATTGGAACTTTGAAAGAAAAAAAAAAATGCTGTGTGACTCGAGTTAAAACTGTGTTTTTCCCAAGGGCTTCTACTAACCATTAGAACAAGGTTATCCAGTTCTTGCAACCACCTCAGTTATTTCCACAGGCATGAAAAGCGTTATTAAGATATCTAAATGTGCAGGACAATCCCTGCAAACTTTCTCAAGAACAACAGTCAGGAAAACTTTCCAGCATTCAAACAACAACGTAACTTTTCAGCATTGGGGAAAACCTGCTGTGTCTGTTAGGAACAACAAACTGAGCTCCTAGTTCCCGCTCCAGAAGAATAGATGTGATTTATTCCAGGAAACATAATCTATTTTCTGCAAGGCATGGAAATGCTGGATCTGGATTCTATCTGAGCCACTAGTCTTCTTTGCTTTCTCTCTTCTACAGCAAGAAATTCTGAGATATTAACTTGCTGAATACGCTGGCCCCTAATTAACTACATTTTCTTCCCTTTTTCCTTTATGGTTTTGCTACAGACACACACACACAAAAAAAAAAAAAAAAAAAAAAAAAAAANAAAAAAAAAAAAAAAAAAAAAAAAAAAAAGAGAGAGAGAGAAACAATACGAAGATTCCACTTTACTTTTCAAGTTAGTGATATTCAAAATGCCATATTTAATTGTATCAGATTCTAACCCTAACATCATACAATGACTTTAGGTATTTTTGCCTATTGGTGGAGGGAAAATGAAGTCCCTAAGTCAGTGTTTCGACTGCCAAATTCATGCAGCTTTCATCTCTGACTGTCACAATTSTACTTACTTGTATTCTCGAGTCATTTTGATTTTTACTAAGCAGAGATGGAATTCCCCGTATTTGCTGACACCTTCACACATTTCAAGGCTGATGAAAAAAGCAGCTCTGTACAAGTCCTGTTTCCTATTGACGTGTCACAAAAGCAACTATTTTCACTTCATTCTTCAATAAAAGACTGTTAATATTATACTTTATGAAGTCTGATAAGCCCTGCAAGTAGAAAGGATACCATGCATGGAGTTGATATGCCACTTCTAATAATTGCTTACCAAAGAGCTTTGCAGGGGCGTAGAACTTGAGCATGAGCTTTTGCTGGGAGCCTTGTTCTCAGATGAGAACCTTGGACACCATAGAACAGGACTTTAATCTTTATTCTGGAGACTTGAAGTATCAAAACTGCCTGACCCTACCAAGGAAACCAGCTACTGCTCTTTAAAAGCATCAGTATACGTGCTTCAATATTTGTAATTGAATATTTTATTCATGTTACTATTGAGGAATAAAATATATTTTGGGCCTATTAGCTGAAAAAAATAAAAATGATGCTTTTAACTCAGCTCTAAATATGAACCTTTACATCAGACTTTCCCTCTAAGAACACTTACATCCTCAATTATTCTGTGCCTGTGTGTCCTTTCCAGAGAAAAGAGCTCTGATAATACATCCCATTTAACACAAAGGCATTAAGCAAAAGAAGAGAATTTCCCTTTTAGAGTCAAGGCTTTTCTTCCAGAGATTGCAGGACTATCCACACCAATTGTCTGCCCTATTGAACTAAGCTGGTGGGCTGTGAGGGAATGTCCCCAGCTGTGCCAGGAGGCATTAAAGGGACAACTTTCTCAAAGATGCCATCACCCAGACTACCAGTCTCCTTCCCTAAGCCCCCCTCCCCTTTCTTCAGCTACATATTAAATCATTTTATTTAACAGAAAGCCCAAGAAACTACTGTTCATACTGAATGCAGGACTGCTCATATTTTGAGTATTTATTGTGGCAAAACAATTCATAAGTTTTCTTTAGAAGACTTTTTTTTTTTGCCATGTTTAGGAGCAAATGAACTCTACATGAAGAAATGGAAAATCATATATCATTTTGGAAAGAGCACTGGATAAGAACACATGCAGAGTTCAAACTTCTAAATAATTTTCTCTCAAAACGCACTATTAGTTTTGTTCAGCTTCTCTAGTTTGTAAAGGTCTATGAAATCAATGAAAATATATTTAGCCTACACCTTTAGAAAGAAAAATCTCCAGTATTAGTTGGTAATAACAGTAAAATCGTATGCAAAACAAAAATATTAGGATCTAGCATGCTTGTCCTTTAACAAGTTCTATTCCAAAATTATATTAAATATATTAATTTCAACTTTGTAAATGTTGCATAATCTYAAGTCTTTTGCGTAGGCAGACAATGATAAAAATGATTAAGAAACCAGACAACCGTTCTCTATTGTGAATGCTATGATTTTCAAACACTACTTGCTAGTAAAGTGCTGTTACAAGCAAAATGAAATCATTAGTGTCTATCGAAAGCAAATGACATTTTAGTAATATTCAAATTGTATTTGTTTTGGCAAATAGTTAAAACCTTAAATGTGTTTGTTTAAACACCCAAAACTAATTCAGTATAAATAATATTGGTTTCCAATAATTCTGTTCTAAAAGGCACATACTAATGTTCCAGCAGTTCATTCAAGTGAGCTTTTGCATGTAAAGTTTTAATTGTGCTTTTAAATAGTTACTGATTCAGTATGACCTTGAAAGTGACATTTGTGCATGTCTAAAATACCTTTTCACAAATGAACCTCACACTCTGAAGGTATAATTTTGTTAAGATTATATATATAACTATGCATATCGATCTCTATAGATCTATATAGATCTACACATATACATAWATTCATACATACACACACAAAAAGAAGTCTTCTGGAACAACAGCAGAATGCGCAGTCTATACTTTTTTGAACTGGCTTCATAATATAAAGTTTCATAACAGTCAATGGAGTTTCTGAAATGATTTGTCTCGGGATTTGTGAGATCCAAGTGATTATTTGTGGTAATGCATTTGTCCCACATTACTGTCTTTCCTCACAGGCTGTTTCAAGCTCACTTCACTTCCAGAAGAGATGATTGGCAAATTGTTTTCCATGTGATACTGAATAAGATGACCCACGCTATCAAATATACGGTCTTTGGTTCTTACCTAGGGAAAGAAGCAATAAATAAATAAATAAACAAATAAATACAAGTTATATTGTGTCTAAAACTGGTTGGATATGAGCCTAGCTAAATGACTAAAAGTCATTTAAGCTACTGAACTCCCTAGAGTGGGATCAATAGGCTACATACAGTAATTCCTACCTTTATATCCCTTTACTGTGTAGGCTGATGTGTGGAACATAAAAAAGCATASGAGTCAGTTAAGACTATGTATGCCCATTAAGAATTACTTTTCCAATTTAC